TCTGCTAAGGAAGCCCTACTCACTGCGTTCCCGTGGCAGAGGTATTTTCCCACTAAAGTGAGAGCACGAAATCCGGGGCTATAACTGGGTTGGTGAACAATTGGCAGTTCCAATAGGGGAGTCAGCAAAAAACACTGATTCCAAACCGACCAAGAGGAGGCGTACGAACCACACACATTCCTGGTTATGACAGTGGTCACCGGCACAACAGGACATCGAGTTGTTTTGGGTACCGTGGACGTTTGACCCCATCCAAAGGGTGTATGATCCGATGAGCTGGACATTAGCCTCTAGTTGATTTCGGTTTTCGCACACCGCCCCGATACCTTGCGGGTCAGGCTTTTGCTAGCTGAAGGCTCCGGTTGTGAATTCTCCAAGAAAATTACCCTGCTTTGGCCTGGGCAACCTGGTGGCATTACGCCAACATACAAACCATGGAGCGTTTTTATTTTTATAAAGATTATTGTGCCATGATTTGTTCGGCATAAAGTTTGGCCTCAAAGGTGTGTAAAATATCTAAATAGAGAGAGAGAGCTCCGTAACAGGGTGTCACAGGATACAGTCAAACCGTTGGAGCCGACGAAAATGTAATGGTGTAAAAAGATTTTCGACGGAACAACAGCGCCGAAAGACTTTATCGTTAAACAATAGGTTGTGCCAGCTTACCTTCGGGATGTATCGTAGGCACCAGTACTAGAATCTTTGAAGATTTTCAGATATTATGTTATTGCTATTATTATTCATCTCTCGAGGATAACAACTTGATAGACTTACACCTTAGTACGGAGGCTTATTTTTCTGCATGTCCATAGTATTCGGCGGAGTCGTAGGAAAGCCATTCTTGCGAGATTGACGTGCAGCTGAATTTCGTTTTGGATTGGTAGTTGGGCTGGATGCTGGAGTACTTGAAAGCCCGGAAAATTTTAACTGGATCACCATTGATAGGACGGTAACGTGCCAGATTGGACTACCTCCATCTCTAAAAATTCACTCCAGAAGGGGAGTACTGCGTTGGGGACTCGAGAACTCATTGGAATTATTTTTGGTCGGACATCAATTCCCGTTTGGATTTTTCCATTATGGAAATACGGTTATGACCCAAGTCAATCAAGGGAGGTCAAACTAAGACTTGGCATGAGGGTATGAAAACCCTGACCAGGAGACTAGGTCACAAAGATCCCGTCAGGCCCCCTGGCTGGGGACCCCGAGATCATGGTCATCGATGGTTAGAGACACTCAGCAATATGGCTGGATGTAGCAAAGAGTGGCGCTTATGCATCTTCTCATTATTCTTGTAAATTTAGTCTATAAAAATTCGCTATCTTTCGCTTGAATTGGCTCGCAACATTCTAATCTTCATTCTGCTGTTTTATATAAGCGGGCGACCAAAACCGTCGGACGAAAGTGTATGGTCATGGCTGTAAGAACTGAACTGAACTGATGATAAAGTAAATTCGGCAGGTGACATCGTGAGATACCACAAATGACGTCAATGCCTGACTGGTTTGGTGTGCAACTCTGCGGTTGGTCGATTTAATAGCAAATTGCTGTTGTCAAAGGCTTAGATATCCCACCAGTTCAAAGTCCAACATAGAAGCGCACAACTGCATTCATTATACAATGAGCTCAGAGACCGCCAGTTGCTGGGGCTGTGCTGCTAGTGAAGCTGTACGAAACCGGGGCGCCTTGATGATGTGGAAGGAGAACGGTTACTTAGGCGATGAACTATGATTGAGATTTATCCACGGAGCTAATTTATACTTGTTCAAAACCGACAAAAAAGCACACACACACAAGATGCACGTAATTGGATGGGGTCGCGCATTTTTTCGAGCCGAACGAAAAATAAAAATTTAACTTTTCCTGGTGGCGCTAGGTCTAACTTCTGCACCCGTGCTATGTAAGGCAAAAACAAGAGGGGAGATTGAAAGCGACATAACAGGACAGTACTATATATTGAACCCGTGTTGGAGTCAGGAAAGACTGATTCGCTAGAGGAAACTCATTTCAACACGGGCGGAGATGACTCAAATGTAACAACAGTCACAGAATGACGAAATGAGAGAATGTATCATATGGTGCCAAACAAACACATACTTTGGATTGGACCTCGCTCGATAGGAGAACGAGTCAATCACTGCATTGGCTAGTTCCGGTGTGTTCAGACGCCAAATTTTCACACAATGATCCATTCCAGCCGTGAGCAGCAGGTCACCGGTCAGTGACAGATCCCCGTGCAAAACTTCTGCCCGATGACCTTCGGCACCACCGAAAACACATACTAGCACGTGACTGGCGATATTCCACAATCGGACTGTATAATCTGTCAGGATGTGGGGTCAAAAGATGCAAGGAAGTGATGATGTAATTATGATTATAACTTCTGTCGGCGTAAACCCTGCATTTCAATTCGGTTCTAAAACAGAAAAGTAAAAAGCCCGGTCACACTGAGGACTGGCACTTCCCAAAAGTGGCACTGATGATTTTGCCTAGCCCGGCTCGCGAAACGTCTGCGAAAGTCAATACTTCCAGGTCTCGGAGAACACACATCAACACTAACATCCGGATCCCGAGCTACAATCCTTCCACAAGTAATTCCAAAAGTAATTTATGCTCACTGGAAAATGTACAACATCTAAGTGTCATCAAAAGATCAATCTAGCAAAATGAACATGCATGAACGAAGAGTCCAGCAGACCGCGGCGACAATAGTTCACCCAGGTAGGTTTCGTGTGCTGCGCATCCGAATATCTTGGCTTTGATCAGATAGGTGGGTCTGAGTCCATTGTAGCTATGAGTGCAAAACACACATCGTAATTAGGGAATCACAATTCAGCCAGAGAGGCTTGCTGTTTGTAAATGCCGACTATCCGATCATACATATTCCGTTGGTCGTGGATTACTTGGATATAAAAAGAAGGAAGGGTTTAATGCATGTCTAGCTGTTGTGAACAGGTAACGAAACCGTCCGGACGGTTGTCGGCTAGTGGACTATTTTCGACCCGGTGACTCATTGGTTGCGAATTAATACGCATTTGGTTTAACCATCCAAATTACAAGGTGTAATACAAGAGAAATTCAAATGTGAAAAGGTCAGTGCTATCGGTGTGGCCTCGTAGCTCAACTGGTAGACCGTGCGCTGTACAAAAAACGCAGGCGGCGATCATGCATGGGCTTGATTCCTAACGAGGCTACGAAACTTTTCACAATTAAAAAATATTGGCTAGTGATGCTAAAACATATAGTCAAACATGTAAGGTTTCCAATACACCTCGATGCCCAAATGAGCCAGTGCCACAACCAGGACCGTATGGTTTGTACACCTCTTCTCGATTGCTTTGGAATCAGGGATTTTAGCCTTAGATGAATATCCAGTGGTTCACGGGCCCGGTTATATCAATGAATGTTGGTGTTTAGTTCTCCCTTGGGTAGGAAAACACTTCCGTCAAGAGAGGACAGTGAGTAGGGCTTTCTCGAGAGGTTATTCGGGACGACCGATAGGATAAGATCATTTAACGGTACAAATAAAGGCTGATGAATCAGAACCCAAGATGCACCCCCACCCCACACACACTGGGGATCATACTTATGCTTTCGGAGATAACATTATATAATCAAATGAAGATCCGTGTGAGTGGAAAATTTTTCTGGATAGTTTGGGCACTGGTGCAGTCATTTGCAATACCTTTAAAGTGTAAAACGCTGTTACCGAAATGGGTTCGTTCAACTTCTTATCTCTCTTTATTAGGGGAAGCAATAGCGAAGGTGAATTTCGCTCCTCGGGCAACCACAGCTCTCCCGGCGAACGTATGTGAAGCCTTGAGAGAGCAGATTGCACTTGTTCAACCGATGATGATGCTGTGTTGAAAAGGTATAGGTGTTAGGAGTGGAAGATAAACGCAAACAATCTGTGTTCAAACCATCCATACCACATCGAACAAATCTGGTGGGATAATAGGGCAAAAAAAATTCCGTGGGGAGGAGAAGTATGATAGAGTTACAATTGCGTACCAAACGTATGCTTGAGCATTCTAAAATTCAAAGACTGGAGCATGAGGCACGTGAATTACGGAATTAGCTTCCGAGGTATGCGTTAAAAATGAAAGATCAAGGGTGATTACACGATGATCTGGAAAGAAGGTATGAAAACCTTGACGAAAGGACTTGGTGACATAAGTCGTGTTAGATTTCTGGGGGAAGAGACCTCGTGAGCAATGTGATCGGTTATTATGGACCATGAATAATAGGATTGAATGTCGTAAAACGGTGGCACTTATGCATCTATTTACCATTCAAGCACACCTCAATTATAGCCGCATTCAATAACTTTATCGTGGTACCGCTTTCCGTTTTCTACGTTTCTTTCACTTGTCCTGTCCTCGATGACTGACTGAATGGGCAGTAATTGAAACTAGCACATTGCAAGGCTCAAGGACGGTTTCACGAACGGAAACTGAACAAAGGAATGCTTAAAAGGGAAAAGAAGTGCGTCAGGTCTCTTTGCTAAACACAATAATTCTAGATTCAGTTGGTAAACATGACAGTCCGAGTGATATATCCTAAACTGTTTCAGATTCGAAATATATAAAATATTGGCCCAGTGCTGTCCTTAATCTGGTCCCGGTTACTGTCTTTTCACAATCTATCGGGTCGACCAATAAACAACGGGCAGAATGTCTTTGAACATTGACTAGGCAAATCACGATGATTTGTATGACCCAGTGCACTATAGACCCAAGCGCTACATATCCCTCTATAGGTTTTCCACCGGCATTGCACGCCAGAGTCCGATTACATGCGCAACACGCCTCAACTGACGCAATCCACGAAGATTGAACAATCTCAACAGTATATGGCCGCAACTGTCCAATACTCGTTGTTTAGCCTCAGCATCACTGGATTGAACGATAGGTGTGTACAATGTTGCATAGACTGTGACATTCGAACACCGGCAGTATGCGATTTTCTTTGCTACTACCGACAAGTAGGTCTTATTTGACGGAATTTGTAAGTAAATCACAAAAACTTCTCCACAAATAAATTGAACAGATCAATGCCCCGCACTAGAATCAAACACACCTTTACTAAATGAAAACAATAGGGCCGGATCTCGAGGGTGAAAACGCAATTCATTGATCGACGATCCGTGACCAACCAAGCTAGTAGGACAACTTGCCAGGCTAGGACAGAGAATTCGAATTACACCACGCTTGCCGGCCGCGGCCACTAGTTGCTGGTGCGGAGGTAGTAATGAAGCTGATGAATAAGCGCTCGGACCCTGATGCGGATGTGGGGCAGAGCGTGGTTGTCGCGTTTCAGCACAATCGGTCCACCAACTGGAGGCCACATTTCCGCTAGTGTCTCGAGACCAAGCGCAACAGTAGAACTCCTCTTCATCGCCAGCCGGGTCAGTAAACGACTGCAACAGTACCACCGGCAATGTTTCTGAGGCGTTCGATCCGTGGTTTTGGTTCGAGGTCTCGTCGGGGGCCTGTTTCAAATTGCACTGATAAATGGTCACCTGAAATAGGAATTTCAAACAGAAAGTTGTGAGAACAGCGAAGTTAACCGTATAAACTCTGTACGTATTTTGTATGGAGAATGAATTATCACAAATTGGAAAGAACATGAAAATGAAAGCGGAACTTCTGCTGCTTGAGAAAATACAAACTTTTGTAGTCTACATCTCTATGGAAAGACACGATGACCTTTTGGAAGATTAAACATTAAGGGTAGTTGATAAATATAGTCCTCACAAGGACCTCATTTACAACATTGGGAACAAATCAACGCAATAAGTCTCTCTACATGCGCACCAATGACGCTGGTTCCGATTAGTTTCGGCTAGTGCCTCGAACCATAGGTGTTCGCTGTTCTTGGGACCCCAACCTGGAAGCCTAGAGGGTTTAACGACAGTCAGTTTTAGGGTTAACACCTTCATCGTTAAAGCCCAGGTTATCCGTTGTCCACCTCGTCGCTACTTCCAGTTAGTATCAACTTGGCCAATCAGAACACTATGGGACAGTCATTGAACCGCCATTCGCAAGACATGTCCCGATCATCGAAGTCTCTGGAACAAGACGATTGATTGCACNTTTGTGGCAAACATTCTTCGGCGAACCTCATCGTTGGTGAGTTGCAGCTGCCAACGTATTCTGGCAATGAAACGAAGACAACGGTGGTTCCAAAGTTGATAACCGGCAAACTAAGCCAGTGGACTCGGAGTGGCGAACTACATAGGAACCCACAAGGATAAGCGTAGTATTGACCTGGAGACGATATGGGGTATCAGGGTTCGGGTTTGGGTTTCCGAATTTACGGCCCAAAGCACGCGAGTAACAGATTTAAACGACCTGACCACCAGCCACATTTAGAGTGGGTCCCATAGCCACATAGGCATAATTTTTCATCGATGAAATCGGATACTTGGAGCAGAGAACTGAGAGCC